CTTACATTGGCCTGTTGAAATCTTCACTGAATAACTGTTCCTTTTTTAGGATTTGTTTGTTCCGATATCCATTGTTCACCTGTTGTTTGCCTCTTGTTGCTGCTACAGTGACACTGAACCCCTACTGATGTAATGGTAGTTTGTCTGCACCAATCTTTTGGGGGGTCATGGGAATTTCTTGTCACTTATTTTTGTTGTAAATATTTTTATAGGTTTTGCATTCCTATCTGATTGCTCTTTTTGTTTTTACATAGGGATCAGAGAGAGTCTAAAACTAAATTAAAATTGGGGTTTGGGAATGTATATTTTTATGTATGTATTTGTGTGTGTGTGTGTGTGTGTGTGTATGTGTATGTGTATGCAGAGAGAAGGAGAGGGGGAGGGGAGGAGAGAAAAATTGGGTCTCAAGGAATGCCCTTGAACTTTGAAAATGAAGGAAATTCCCAGGAACCATTGGAATACAGAAAACACTCATGAACTTTTGCAACTTGTAAGCAACCCAGCCTATGCCCTTAACTTTTGTCCTAGACCCAAGACCTTGCCTACGAAAATTTTGTAACTTGTGGGCATTGCACAAGTGCTGGAAAAACTGGCAAAAATTGCATTACTCTATTCAGCTCCACTTCCAGTCCAGCCCCTAACTACTGCCCTTCTATAAGTATTGGAACCCCAAATTGAGGACCTTTWTCCTCTCAAGATAGTCTACATTCTCCCTTGAAAGTCTCTCTGCTTTCTTGTATAAATCTCTATCTCTGATTAGCACATGATKAAATTCTTTTCCATCATGTACTGCAAGGACCTCACTTGACCCGAATCTAGTTTCCTTTTCCTGCAACTCCTCAGACTTCCAGTGAAACTACCTCTACAAATGCTACCATCTTCTCAGATTCCTGCTTTATGAGAATTTTACTGACTAATAACTTCCTTTTGAAGATACACCATAATTTACTCAACCATTGCCTCAAAGTTGGAAAACCTTTTTATATGCTTGACATGGTCTTAAGGAACCATGTCAAAACTTCCTGTTTAATCCAGTCACAGATTTAATAGACAGATACAACTGTTAATTATTCTGTGTTGCACCCAACAATGCATCCTTTTTTTTTTATAAGAGCAAAATACAAAAACCAAATACATCAAAAAAGGAAATATAGTGTACAACTAGAAAATTGAAAAATTGTGCTCTAAATGTGTAGCATGAATTAAATTGCATTCTGCCATCATATATAACAAATTAGAATAAACAAATGATTAAAAAAGGAAATATATAAAAACTTTAAATGTGTTTACAGAAAGTTGGACAAATGATTCATTCTGTCACAGAAGACAAAGTACAAACATGATTGAGTGTGCTGATTCCAGTTTTTCAGCTACCAAACGGATTTAGAATAGGAACAGTAGGTAAACCACTAGAAAATCACTTAGGGGTACATAATTCTCATTTTGTCATTTTGGGAATAATTTTCAGAAGCCTTAAAAATATGTGCAGTCTATAACCCAGGAATTTCATTTCTCTGCTTTGATCATAATGGAATAATTGACTTTTTGTTAAAATATTAACTATAGGAATATTATGTTGAAAATTTTAAATTATTAATGTGTGAAACAGTAAGGTATTAAGGAAATTATATATATTGATTGAACTCAGGGGTGCTCAACCACAGAGCCTCATCCCCAGCCCTATTTTGTGTTTTATTTAGAGACAGGGTCTCAACCTACTTGCTTAGCGCCTTGCTTTTGTTGAGGCTGGCTTTGAACTCAGGTTCCTCTGCCTCAGCTTTCTGAGCCACTGGATTATAGGTGTGCACTGCTGCACCYGGCGTTAAATAAATGATTTTATATAAAGCACTTAGCTCAATGTATATTGCATAATAAACTCTTATAAATATTATTATTACATTACTCTCTTTTTATTCCTTCATTTAGTTTATGCATATTSGGGCGTGCCATATGCCGGGCACATTCCTAGACACAAAGACATATGTGAATAAAACAAAGACAATGCCCTTGTGAAAGTTATATTCTCATATAGGAGACTGCAAATGAATATGTGAGGGGTTGGCAAGTTCTCTAAAGAAAAAATAAATAGAATAAGAATATATTAAATAATATAGGGTATTAAGATTGAGTTTTCATTTTTGCTCAGACCAGGCATATTTCTGCAAGAATAATATTCTTGGCCAAAGGCAAAAAAGTCCTGGATAGTAATATGTCTAATGAATGTGAGGAACTACAAGAGGACCATTGTGAATGTAGTTTTAGTAAAGAAGGGAGAGGGTAGTATAAGATAATGCTCGAGAGGTCAATGTTGTAGTGTAAGGGTCCGGCGAACATCGGAGGAAGAGACCACCAAGAGACCGACTCATGCAACAGCAAAAGGGGGTTTATTGAGGATCCAATCCAGCGCTCTGGGGCTCCAGGCTCACTCAAGAAGGGAGAGCGGCCAAGAGCCCCGAGCAGGGGTTGAGCAGTGCTTAAGTACACTTTTTTTAGGGAGGCCAGGGGCTTTACATTCATCACAGTCTCCTTTAACAAATCACCATACACCGAGGGAAAATCAAACAACAATTTCTAATCATGATTAGTGCATTCATTGGCGGGAACAGGTCGGGCGGGGGTGATAGGTCATTCCTAAGGAGGGGATACATTCAAACTGATTGGTTTGGGCCCTGAATGCCTACGTGCCAAACTGCACAGGGTCCACATTATTTAACAACTAAATGGTCAGTAATGGGCATTGTCTTAACTGCCTCAGGAATTTCAGGTTCTGTGTGCAGTTCAGAAACTTTACAATACCTAGTCCTTTACATTTTAACTCAGGCTTTGCAGCTTAGAAACTTTACCCTTTCAGTAGGTCTTTGGAAATCATGGAAGGAATTTGTATTTTACCCTACGTGTGATGAGAAAGCATGTTTTGTTAAGAGGAATGATGTGATTTGATATATACCTTAAAAAATGAATGGTTCCTTTTATAGAGAAAAAATTTGTAAGTCAAATTAGAAACTAAGAGACCAATTAAGAGACTATACAGATGGTGACTTAAAACTAGTGATGGTGGTAGAGAAGTGGAGGGATTTGGGGATGAGTTTTGGGTTGTATTTCATAAAAGAATTGCGTTGATGGAAAAATTACTTTGGAAATTTTGATGATGGACATTCTTTACTTAAGTGGAAAGTTTGAGGACATATTTTTTTAAAGAGAGAGAGAGAATTTTTTAATGTTTATTTTTTAGTTTTTGGCGGACACAACATCTTTGTATGTGATGCTAAGGATCGAACCCGGGCTGCACGCATGCCAGGCAAGCRCGCTACCATTTGAGCCACATCCCCAGCCCAATGAGGACATATTTTTATGTACATGAATGGAATTTAGGAGAGAGGTCAGGACTAGGGATAAAAATTGGAGTAGTGTCCTTGTATACACAATATTTTAAATCACTGCCCTTGATGAATGAATTAGATTGAGAAGAGCACATCTGTGGTGATTGCTTTGGTATGTTGCAATATTTGGAGATCAAGAAGAGGAAAAGGATCCAGCAAAGAGACTTAGAAGAAATAGCCAGTGAATTAGGAGGACATTGATATAAGAAGCATAGATAAGAAAACGTCAGGGAGGCYGAAGTGATCTGTAAGAGACAGGTGAGAGCTGAGAGTTAGCCATTGGTGACAGAGACAGTTTACAGAGTAAGTATGGTAAGCCAACGTTAGACTGAAAAGAGTTCAGGAGAGAATAAGATTTAAGTGAAGACAGGATATACATTCAACACATTTTGGTACAAAAGGGTAGGTGAAGTGGCATATACAAGGATTCTTTTGAGGTGATTTCAGTAGAAAGAATTTTAGCAGAAAGTGAATAATCAATGATGCTGAAAATAAGAAGCATATCCATATAAATGGGGAAAAAGGAATAGGATCCAGTCTACTATAAAGGACTTGGCCCTAGTAAGAACTTGAGTGTAGAAGGAGAAAAAGCATAAAGGCACAGGTCCATATTGGTTGTTAAATTTGACCACGAGAGAATATGGAAGTTCTCTTCTGARTAATGCTGTTGTTGTCAGCAAAATAACCATTCTATTGAACTGAGAATTGGAACTGCGAGTTGGAAGTAGAGAATAAGAGGTATTGAAAATTTGAAGAGAAGTCTAAAATAATTTCTAGGAAGGCGAGTGTGTGTGAATTGACCAGACTAAGTCTGCTTTGTTACCTCGCAATTCTAGAGCTCACTTGAGGTATAATGTCATAAACTTAAAGTAAGAACAGTCAGTGTGATTTGCAATTATAGCCATGTTAATTTGCTCTAGATATAGACACAGAATAGGTAGAGATATGGATTTAGGATTGGAATTTTGCCATGCAGGTACAAAAGAAGAGAGGGGCAAAGGAATTGAGTATCTGCAGTTTTGCAGTTAACATGATAAACCAAAAAATCTGTAAGATGGATGAGGARGGAAATGGGTCACATTCTATCTACTCCTGCCAAACTGTTGTCAATACCACATTTTACTTTCTTATCTCTGAGATTGCCCTTGTACCCTATTTACATCCCCAATAGATGCATACACACTGGACATCTGTGTGTTCAAATTCTATTCATATTCAAAGGATAGTGGTCACACTGCTTCCTTCTTAAAGTTTTCCCTCCTTACCCCTGGTGAACAGTCATCTTATTTTGAATTTCTATAGCAATTTAAATCTCTAATTGGCTATCKGCTTTGTATTATAATTTTGTGTGATGTCTTACCTCTTACACATAGTGATATTATAAACAGGGACTATCCTTGAATTCTTAGCATTTAGCTGGTGTTCAGTGAATGTTTGATGAGTTAGTGAAAATCTTAAGTAAAGAAAACAATGTCATGGACATTTTCCAAAGTAATTCTAGAAACTAGTATTTCATAGACACTACTTTTAGTTTCATCTGCATAATCTTGTATATTCACTAGTTTGTAGAAATCCTGTTTTATTTTAAAATAATCACCATTTTATTAATGTATCTTGCAGGAGCATCTTTCCTTGAAGAAGTATATTGTTGACATTGTAGTTGAAAGTACAGTTCCACCAGAGCCTTTGAAAGATGSAGAAGAGCGGCAAAAAAATAAAAAAAAAGCCAAAAAGATAAAAGCACGGATGAACTCCAGGTATCTTGAATATTCTTAAAAACAATACAAAACAAAACAAAAACTCTGAGTGATGTATCCTTTAATGTAAATCTGAGGAAGATAAAAAAATTAAGTTGTTTGTTTTAAGAAAGCTTTGGAAATAACACTGATGAGCCTAATTTATAGCCACTTTCTTTGATTGAGAAAGAAAACTGCATATCGATCTAAAGCCCTTGCTTTCACCTGTTAAGAGCTCTTCTTATAATTGGATGCCAAAGCCCTGCCAAACTTGTGCCTCCTCCAGCATACAATAGTACATTTAAGTATGTGTAAACCAAGCCTATTTTTCTTTCCAACTATTGATTTTTAAATGATGTATCAAAGAAAATCAATAGCAATCAACAAATAGAAGTCTGCTGGCTGTAGTGTCAACCCCCGATGACTGAGTGTAATCAATTTGGTTGCCTGTCACAACAAAAAAAAAAGTTCAAGAAATATCTTAGAATGGAAAGTGAGTTGTCAGACCTGTAGTTTATCATCGGCCTCCAAAGCGACATCTGAATATCAGACAGCCATGTAGTCGATCATTACCTCACAAGCTTTGAGTGTCATCTGATGACTTATGTGTGTTGTTTGAAACCCTAGCTATTTGAGGAAGAGTATTCTGAATATGCCCTTAGATTTTTATTTCCAAACATCTCAAAGATAGAAAAGCTTGACTTATGGGATTATAAAAATATAGATCTAGAAGGATGCTGAATGATGCAGTTCTCTTTGTAGTTTCATGTCCAGATTTGAATCTATCAAGGTATCCACTTCATCTTACAGTATCAAGGATGCCTTGAGAGTGTTCTTTTATATGAAGAATAGAAAAGGCTTTCTTGGTTATTTCTGAACTCATTTTTTTTTCCTAAGAATAGTTTGAACAGTTTACTTCAGGGTATTACTGACTTTGATTTCTAGTTTATGCTAAGAACTTGCTGACCTCCTGACCTCCTGACACATGAGCCTTTATTTGGTTCCCATTTCTTCTTCATGTACACATTCTCTTGGTGAGCTCACTTAATCCTGTGACTTCACATACTTTGTAGTTGCTGATGACTACGCATTTAATATCTTCACTCAAATTTATTATGTCCAAAAAACCTGTACTRTCTTCCTCCCCCAAAACCCAACTTCATCTCCTGGTTTTCTCTATATTAGTAAATGATACTGTAGTTTAATTGACTAGGTCCCAACTAGTTAAAGTCATCCTTTACCTCTCTCTTTCTAGTACACTTTGCATTAGATCCATCTGCAAGAGATGTTAGGTTTGCCTTAAAGTATATTCAGAATTTAACTATTTTAACTTCACTGCTTTCCCCAAATCCAAGCTTCCACCATCTCTCACCTGAGTGTTGTAGTAGTTCTCTGACTACTCCTTTTTTCTGCCCTGTCTATTCTGAGCACTATAGCCAGAGTAAACCTGTTAAGATGCTAAGTCAGAGCATGTCACTTCTAGACATCTCAGGACTTGTACAGTTTCTTGATCCTAGAAGGCTTTTCTAAAATATATCCATATAGCTGACTCTCTCATCTTTAGGTCTTTGTTCAGATGTCACCTTTTTAGTGAGGATTTGCTTGAGGACCTGATTTTTAAAAAAATTTTTCACATAASTAGTGCTTATTTATTAAAGAAAATCTTAAAAATACAAATAATCATGGGAAAATTCCTATAATTCAGTAGCTGCTAGTATTTTGGCATTTGTAACTGTTTTAGTGCATAAATACCTGTATTTATTGATTTTTTTCATGAAGATATAACATTATGTGAAATGTAGAGATCTAAGATATGTAGTTTGTTGAGTTTTAATAAATCTAAATATCTGTGGAATCCATAGACCTTTCAAATTTTAGAATTTTCCATTGTTCCACAGAGTTTCTTTGTAGTCAACTCCTGCTACCTCTACCCTTTGGCGATCACTTACCTGCTTTCTGTCATTATCATTAGGACTTTTTCCTTTTCTAAAAATTCATACATTTGAAATCATACTCCTTTGCAATTGGCTTTTTCTGAGTATACTGTTTTTGAGATTTACCTGTGTTTTCATTGCTGAACATATCCATATATGAATAATATCACAATTTTTTTGCTCATCTCTTGATAAACATTTGAATTTCTAGTTTGGGGCATTTATAAATAAATCTTCTATCAAGTTTTGGGTGAATTTTGTTTCCATTTCTTTTGGGTAAATACTTAGAGAAGTATAGTTGACAAAATGTTTTCCGTAGTGGYTGTACCATTTTATTCACCCATCTGCAGTCTATGGAAGTTCCTTCTAGTTGCTCCATAGTCTTGCCAGTATTTGCCACCATTAATTTTAAATTTTTAGCCTAATTCTGGTGGAAATGTTGTAATAGCTCATTTTTGTTCTAATTGTGATTCCTTAGTGATTCATGGGCATCTTTTCATGTGCTTCATAATCATTCATTATCTTCCCTTGTGAAATGTCTGTTAAAGGATTTTCGCCCATTTACAAAATTAATCTATCATTTCACTATTGAGTTGTTTATATATTCTAACTACAATTTTTTTAGTCAGATATGTATGAAAAATTTTTTCTTACTCTGGAACTTGCCTATATATTTTCTTTTATCTTTTTTGGTATTGGGGATGGTATGGGAGGGGTAGTTAACCACTGAGCTATACCTCCAGCACCCTTCCCCATTTTTTTATATAGAGTCTTGCTAAGTTGCTTAGCGTTGTTGAGGCTGGCCTCAAACTTGTGATCTTCCTGCTSCAGCCTTCTGAGTCACTGGGTTGCAGGCATTTGCCACCATACATGGCTGCTTATACATTTTCTTGATGATAGCTTGCAGTTAGCAAAAGTTTAATTTTGATATTGTTTATTTTATCGGTGTTTCTCCTTTTATGCCTAGTGCTCTCTGGGTTATCTAAAAGATCCAAAGGTTAAAAGAAAGCCTTCTCAGAATTTTCTCTAGAAGCTTTGTAATTTCAGTTTCTGCATTAAGGCTTATTATTTATCTCACATCAGTTAATGGCAATGATATAAAATATAGTTAGGGGTTTATTTCTCCACATAAATAGTCTATTGTCCCAGAACTATTTGTTGAAAAGATTTTCCTTTTCCATTACACCAATTTAGCACCTTGTTTAAAACATTTTTTCCCCATTAATCTGTTTTCTCTTTTGAACACTTGATAAAAAAAAATATGAATCAGCCATATTGTTGTGGGTCTGTTTCTGGATTCTGAGTTCATTTCTGTTCCACTGATATATTTGGCTATCCCTTTTTAAAAAAATATACCTTTATTTTGTTTATTTATTTTTATGTGGTGCTGAGGATCAAAACCAATATCTCACACATGCGAGGCAAGCACTCTACCACTAAGCCACAACCCCAGTTCTGATTTGTCTATCCTTAAACAGACTTGATTACCATACCATAGTTTTCCAGAAAGTCTTCAAGTAAAGTTGTAGAAATCCTTTATCTTTTTTGAGATTGTTTTGGTTAATCCAAGGAAATTTGCATTTTTATATAAATATCAGGGTCAGYTTTTTATTTTCTAAAAAGGTCTATTGGGATTTTGTAAGGATTGCATGGAATTTTTAGATTAGTTTGGAAAAAAACTGACATCCCAATAATATTGAGTCTTCCGATCTATGATTATGGTGTTTCTCTGCATTTGTTTACAGTTTTTTAAATATCTCTCAATTTTGTGATTTTCAGTATATAAGTCTTATCAGTATTTCATGAAGTTCACCCCTAGTATTTTCTGGTTTTGAAGCCATTGAAAGTGATATTTTTATTTCATTTTTTATTTTTTTCTTGCTAGTGTAGAGGAGGACAATTGCTTTTTGCATAACCTATGTCCAGTGATATGATCAAATTGACTATGAATTATTATTTGTTGTTTTGTAAATACAAAGTCATTTTTGTATATACATAAATATCTGTGTATAAAAACTTTATTTCTTTCTTTTCAATGTGTATACTGTTTATTTCTTTCTCTGTTTATCTAATTGTGCTGCTCCATATCTTCAATACAATTTGAAATAGAAGCCTTGGTCCTGATTGTAACTGGAAAGCATTCAGTTTTCCATCATTATGGTATGGTATTAGCTATAGGGTTTTTGTATATGTCCTCTATCAGATTAAGGACGATTTCTTTTATTAGTTCCTTTAGAATATTTGTCATAAATTGATGTTCCGTGTTCTCAAATACTTTTTCTATATATTTCAAGATTTTTTTTTAAATAAGTGGTGCCTTATTATTTTCAAGTTAGTTTTATTGAGATATAATTCACATTATATACAAGTCATCTGTTTAAAGTGTACAATTCAGTTAGAGTTTTGATGTTAAATCAACATTGTATTCCTAGTAATCACTTGTTCATAATGTATTTTCTATATATTGTTGTATTTAATTTGCTTACATTTTGTAGAGGATTTTTTACACTTATGCTCATGATGTATATGGGTGTTTAATTTCCCTGTTGAGTATTTGGTTGTTTTTCGTTTTGGGGKTTTTTTTGTCTTTTGTGGTACTGGGGATTGAACTCAGGGGCACTCAACCACTAAGCCACATCCCTAGCCCTGTTTTGTATTTTATTTAGAGACGAGATCTCACTGAGTTGCTTAGTGCCTTGCTTTTGTTGTGGCTGGCTTTGAACTCAGGATCCTCTGTCTTTATCCTCCTGAGTCCCTGGGATTACAGGCGTGCCCCACCATGCCTGGCTGAGTCTTTGGTTTTGGTAAAAAAAAAAGAATGCTGTCTCATTAAATGAGTTGGGATTGTTTCCGCCTTTATTTTCTGTACTTCTGTAAGACTGAGCTTCTCTCTTATTTAAATGATACATATATAATTCACCAATGAAGTAATAGTCCGTATTTCTTTAGTTTTTGGTAACTTATATCTTTCATTTTGGTTATCCATTTTATCTAAACTGTTGAATTTATTAGCATAAAATTGCATAAATTATTCCTATTCTTCCTGTTTCTTGTTCAGTATGTTAGGAATTGGAAGTTGTTACTCCA